GACGCTAAGCCGCGTCGTAGCGTTCTATCAGGGCGCCTAGTCAACCTCGATGTCTGATATTCATTGCAGATCATTCCTATACATCTATATTCTCTATAGGTATATATTAATACATACGTTTATTGGTCATTAGTCATCTCACACGAGTAACGTTTATTCGGATAATAAGTGAGCTTAACCGATCGCAAATGTCAAACGTTTAATCTATACGTGATTTCACAAAAGCTCTATTTTATTTGCTCTTTTACTCGTTGTCTAGCTTTATGATTTTATCAGGGAGAAGAATCGACGTTGGTGTTTGCTGGAAATTGATACTTTATGAAATTTTCTAGACATGCAATGTTCTCTGGGTCTTCAATTACTTTTATTCAATATCATCATTCAGAATAGTATGAAAAACGTCGTAACTTCTTGGAGTGGCTGGCATCAATGCACATGTATAAAGTGATTGTTACGACACTGATAATGAATATAACTATTGAATTTATTTTTAATTATTCTGAAGAGAAATATTGTAAATCTTCGAAGAGGTTTTTTCAACAATAAAAGAAATAAATATATTTTTATAACTTTAATCAAGAAAAGTGCAATTAAACTTTTATATATTTTTTTTTTAGATGTTCTAGGGAAAATATATCACTTGACTTCATGTAAACGAGAAATAATTAATGTCTATAAATTTATTTGCTCTTGTAGACTTGATATTTTATTTTTAGTCAAGAGAAATAGAAAATTCGTCGAAATGTAGTTATTTTATGAATACTTCTAAAAAAAGATTTTTAAATTATAATAATGAATAATAATAGGTACACGGTAAAATTATTACATGAAAAATTACAATGGATTTTTAGTACTAGTGAACTATTTCTAAAGTTTCCGTAAATTTGATGAAATACAATTTAAAAAATTCTTTGGTCATTATTAAATTCTGAAATTATTAAATCACTTCATAGTAAAATTTCATTTAAATCTGCAGAAAAAATATCCGTATAGATAAAATTAAGTTCCAGGTCATATTAATATAAATTTAAATATTTTGTAATACAATTATAAAATTGCCATTTATATTTCCAGTACTGTTAATTCGATTTAACTTAGTGGAATTCCGGTTCTTTTAAAAAAGAAAGAAAAATTAAAACTCAACATTTCTCACACACATCTCTTCAACCACTTGTTCACTAAATAATAAATGAGATATTTTAAATTTACATGAAATTTGAAATTGATAGGAAATAAAATCCATTGTCAGTAACTCGAGCTTATCAAGTACAATAGACCCGAATCTCGGTATTTAACGAGATTATTTAATAAATTAATTAATTCAATAAGCAAAATTTATGCAGCTTCAATTATTAAAATGGTTTCCAGTAAATCCATTAAACTAATCATATATTAAAATATTATATTTTTCAAAAGAATCTTTTTTTTATCCCAACTGTAAGTATGATAAGCAATAAAAAAAGTATTGAATGTAATACAGCTTCGGAAACAATTCAAGAAGTTTATGGAAAATATTGAGAAACTTTATAAGTACAGCAAACGATAAATAGAAATGAAAATATATTACAGAATTATCAGGAAATATGACAGGAACGAGGGGTTTGTTGTTGGAACTCTAGTTTTTCTTTTCTCTCTTTTTCCAAGTCTGCAACTTGGCCTATAAAATAAAGGAATGATAATAAAGGTGTACGTATGTACATTTCACATATGTACATTTGAACGGGACAGACATTAGGTTCTGTCGGTCGGATTCCACGAGAAGTGGCCACTCCTACCCTCTAGAAAAGCTCTCATTTTACTATACCCACACCAAGTACCAAGCTAGATCACATGTCTTTCCTCTTTTCTCACTCTATCTGTGCTCCCTCTCACATCGTCTGTTCTCGTTTCCGCTTTGCCATTCCCGTTCATGTATACACCACTGAATGTTATCTGCCTATTCCCTTCAACAATTCGCTCTCCGTTCCTCTTTTCCACTCTACCCCTATCACTTCTACTCGAAGGAACGCGTAGAAGAGACTAGTAAATGCTACGAATTCCACGACTTCCAGAGGCTAAAGCGCAAGCATGAGAAAAGAGTCAGAGAAACGTATGCATCAAGCAATGTCTTTCCACATCTCACATGTATAGAAAATAGATAGGGGAAGAAGAATGTTACGCTGAGATACTAATGACGATACATTTCATGACAGCTACCGTAAGACAATGCTTTGTTTTAATGCCGATAAATCTGTGGTATATATAGAGCTCAAGGGGCTTTGGAATACATTACAAAGAGATGTTGATTTTTATTTTAAGATATCTGATGGGTTCGAAAAATATCCAGACAAATAAATGTGTTTTGGAGTAAATATTACTCCAAATAACGTTTACTCCAAAACATGAAATATCTATAAACCATACATGATGAAGTCGCATTGGCTAATTAATTCATCTGTGCTAATTACTTGGAAATGTTTATTTTTATTAAATTAAACAAATACTTGATACATACACACAAAGAGTGTTACATAAAATCTATGGGAAAAAAGGTTTAAAAAAAGTTAGTGATTTAAATTTCTTATTGCCAAGAGAGTTTAATTTTTATATTATTCTATTGATAATTTATATTACTGGTAAACGAGTGATTGATATGATATTCAATAATAATTATAAATAATTACATATTGAATTTTTTGTTATCATTATAATTAATCTTTAATAATATTTACGTTAGTTATACTAATATACATGAATTTTATAGAAAAATTTCCCATTTATTTAACATTAATTTGAATGCTTTAAAATCCATTTCAAATTCAGTCTGTTGAAAGAACAATTACTCTTCATTCAATGAATAGCGCAAGTAATGAATGAAAAAAAATTTTTTTAAATTCACTATGTTTAAATGAAATTCCCTATAAAGTCAATATTTATATTTGCGCAATAAAAAAAATGTATTTTAAAATGAATAAATTTTTTATCTATCATTTATAATTTAATTTTCTTTTATGTAAAATGATTGCAACAAAACAAAATTGTCAGCAAGAATAGTTAATTTTAATATATAATAAATGAATATTGAAAATGAAAATAATCAAATTAAAAAAAAATTAATTTTGTTAATAAAACCTTTTTGTAATATTTTTCCCATTTTTAGCAACAATAATACATCCTTTATTATTCAATAGTTCCAATGGTCCCGTCAATTTAATGTCAAAATGTTAAACTTGTTTGGTTTCAACAGAAAAAAGTTTAATTTTCATAAATACGAAAATAAAAAATAAATTATCAAATATTTCATAAAAAATACAACTCCTAATTAGATGAAAAAAATCGAATAATTTAAAGTACAAAGCTTTCAATGAATTTAATTATAAACTTTCAGAGTAAAATTCCTTTCTTAACGTGATAAATCCTAATTCTTTCAAAGAAAAAATAAACTGATAAATTCTAATAAAAATCATTTCCATTTTACCCAATTAAACAATTTACAAAATTTCTCTTGAAATCGTCATCCCACTATCAATTAAACAACATCATAATAGAAAACTTTTTATAGAGTCACGTATTAAAACGACAATTTAATGTGTAAATTTCATGCATGTTACTTTCTCATAAAGCGTTAATAATCAGGTGAGCGGACACAATTAAATCTAATAAAAAAAATCAATAATTCATGTTTGTTAGGCATGACTTTTTAAAACAATAATAAATGTATAAAAATTGATGACGATTGTAATCTTTACTCCGGATATTTTAAAGTCATTGAACTCGCTGAACCATTATTTATATTACAGTTGATATTTTTATTATATTCCTCTCAACGCTTGTGTGGGTTAAAGATGGTTGGTCGACCCGGACACTCGAGTTTGTGTATCGAGGTCGACGTGCCGGTCGCCACGTGGTGTCGTTCATGTGTGGGAGCGATATCAAAACCAAAGTATACCACTCTTTGGTTGCTAGGAATCCTCTTTGCTATTTTAATACGCAGAGTAGGTAAACAGATTTATCCAGAATCCATGATAAAGCATCAGGAGAAAAAATATATTGAGACATGTGCATAAATAGATTTGAGAATAAATAATTTCCAATCGATAGGAGGCGTACAAGACATGTGTATGTTTTAAATAGCTGTGAGACTTGGAGAAAGAATAAAAATAAAATTCAATTGGTAGAATAAATTAGGATAGAATGAGAAACATCAATAAAATGTAAAAGGTCAATGACCTCATTATTTATATCACGTGGACGAACGAAATGCATTAGTTACTTCTTCATCTGTCGTATAAAGAAAAAAGTAATGTTTAAAAGTATCGAAGAACACTCCTGCATGTAAGACCTTTAATAAATATTTTAAATGTCACTTTGTTCAATTGACTTTACTTGTAAGTGGGTCCCTTCAATGAGGAAATAGAAAAAGTCTCGAAGCAATACAGCACGCGATTAAGAAGAGACAAGAGTTGAGGCAGGTCGGGACGATGAATCGCACTACTAGACTACTTTACAGTGAGAAACGGCAAAGTACGATACTTGGGCTCTACTTAGTCGCCTGCCACGTTTCTTTCTCGTGACGTAATGCCTTCGAGGGACCGCATCGCGCCTGCTGAACGCACTACGGACACTAGGATTGTGTGAGGGAATACAAACAGTATCAAGAGACTTCTCAGAACTTGGTTTCTCTCAATTCGTTGACCCGTATTTTTCTCCTTTGATCCACACTCAATCGAGTTGATATATTGTATTGTTAGTAATACACTTTATTTCTTAAGCTCTATTACATTGTATATCAAATGTTAATATTTATTTTCATCATTTATTTGTCAATCACTCCAAAACATTCTTCGCTATTTCAATGTCGATAAATGTTTTTCCAAAGAATTCATTTCCTAGAATTCGCTCGACTCTAATAATTTCAAGAAATTCTACACGAGTTAGTTTTATTGTTTTTGTTTAATAAAAATACTAAATAATATAAAATAAATGATAGCATGCAGAACATGTTTGTCGAAAAAACTTACCAGAAAGATCCAGAAAAATTTTATCCAAATAAAAAGTTGACGAAAAAAAAATTCTTGATCACTTGAAAGTTGTTCAAAGTAGTTAAAAACTTTTCATTAAACTAAAAGTTTCATTATTGAAATAAATTCACAGTGAAAAACATTAAAAGTACAACAGTTTGACAGCTGATAGTGTCCACGAGACGAGAGTATAATGAGAAGAACTAACATAGACGAGACCAACTATTCGCCACGAAGTTTCGCGGCAGACTGAAGCGTCAGTGCGACATACAAACCCCCCTTAGCAATGCGAGGCAACACAGTGTGGTGATGCGCGCCGGCACGCTGCTAAATGCTGCAAGCAGCGTGGCAGCCGGATGCGTGGGTAGCTCCGCCGCGCAGACGTTTCCCCTTCTACACTCTTCTTAGCAAGTAATTCTGGAAATTAAATAATTCATACGATTATCAAGTATAGAAAAATAAACCGGTAAAAGTAAGTAAGTGTAAAACTGCATTTTGATCAACAGTTCGACTTAGGTTATTAATAATAGTATGTATATTTCATATTTAATTTAATTCAGAGACAGCTAGGAACTTGAATGATGGATAAAAAATAAAAACAAAAGCATAAAATAATAATAAAAAATCAGAGGATATAAAGTTTCTTTGAGATGAGGGAGAAGAAGAGTATTTCACGAGAGGTTATACATCATGTCAGACTCCACATAATAAAATTCAAAACCCGGTGAATCCCAAGAGGAATGATGTTACTATACACTAGGACACATGACGACAGTTGAAATTGATTCGAGCTGTCATTGATACGACAAAGAGTGAGATGAATTCTTGAGGATGTTTCAAGAGACTTTTAGTTGGGTTGCTATATTTTTACTCTTTATATCCAGCCACCCATCATTGCTTGGTGGAGACTTATTCAGAAGTGTGTCATCATTTATTCTCTCATTTTAGTAAACTTTATTTTTCGTTCGCGGAGTTATGAGATTTAGATTTGATGGCTCTATTATCGTTAAATTTTTATGCTACTTGTTGAGAAAGAGATAATGGAAAGATTTCATGTAGGAAGTTTTTACAAATATCTTTGAAGATGATTTTTTATGATAAGTATGTTTTGATAAATTTTTTTATCGCAAATGTTCTTTGGGGTTTAAAAATAAATCAATATTTCATTGTTTTTACGTGTGAATTTTTCTACTATTTCATTTTTTTATTCATACTCCATTGAACGAGTTCATGAAACTAAAAATTTCACACTCAATTAGTTCTTTTTTGCTCTGGAAAAATTTATTATTAGGTTTTTAATCGGACAATGAAGTATAGAAGCACCTAAATTTAATAGCTATCAACTTGACTCTGTTATATATGTCTTAATCTATTTTCAAGACTCAGCCTAATTCGTTATTTAATACACACAAAAAACTAAATGCTATCACAAAAAGTTGATGCATCACAACGAGAAGAGCTTTCAACTAAAAATAACATTCTAATTTGTTTTTGTTTTTAAATAAGTAATAATAAAGATTTGCAACTAATAAATGATAATTTTTGGCTTGAAAATGTTTTTTTTTTTAACAAATAAAACAGAACTTGATGAATCGAAAGAATACATCGACAACAATAAAACAACCAATTTATTTACTTCCAGGACTTTGATCATAACAGATGAATGTTCAGACGAATTTTTTTTCTCATTTTTCATATGAAAAAAAGAAAAATGAAAAATTTAATACCGAAAAATTTACAAGTTTCTAAAGAAAAGTGTTAGTCTATGGAAGACATTTTCAGTTTCCTTTGGGGGAAGCCTATAAAAAAACGTCATACTCTACACTAGGAAGTTTGCCCAGTCGGAAAGTTTTATCGTTTTTTTCGTAGCTCGATAAGTCCGCGGTATGCGATCGCTTCTTTTCTTCCTTCAGTTTCCTTCCGTTTTCTCTTTTTCTTCTTCTTCCTATTCTTCTTTGACTTTTCACCCTTTTTCAAGGTTATTTCTCGGGGCACTTCTGATCCAAAGTAAAACTGACAACAGAAGATGAGATGTGTGACGCATATTTAGCGCTTACTATCGAGATGAAAGCCAGCCTGAGCTCATAAACAATGAATCGAGAGTAGGTAGAGATGGCTTGAGGGATGATGAAACTGACGGGAGATTAGCCGCGACGTCATGCGTTGTTGCTGATGCGAATTCTGGCGCCGCCGGGTTAACGTTCCCCTAGTGCCTCGTCTGACTTCGTTCGGCCAGTGTCGATGGAAAATTGCAATTCAACAAAGCCCGTTTTCTCATAAAATATCATATCGAGGACGTGATAAAGAAAATATTACAGAAAGACGTATGGAAGATGATGTTGAATAAATTATATTCTTCGTGACGGTCGATCTATTTACTTTTTCAGGATATTGCAACAATGTTGTTATATTTATCGACACCGTAAAAAATTCTTGGAAAAATATTTCATCAATTTTATTATTTTTTTTTTTTTTTTTTTTTTTTGATAAATGAAAAAATAATATTGTAAATTGATAAATAGCGGAGTGAATCTATATTTTTTTAATGTTTTTTTTCGATAAAATATTGTTGAGTATATTTTTTAAAATATTTTTTCTCGAGAAGAGTTTTATTTTTCTTTTAAATTAATTGCTAACTGTACCATTGATAATTATATCGTAGAATAGAAAGTTATGATATATTGAATTGTGAACATTGCAGTTTATTATTTAAAAATTTTTTTCAAATGAAAAATCGCAATGAATTGTTTTTAGATGTAAACTTTTTGATAGTTTATTGGAGAAATTGGAATTTTTTTTAGTAAAAATTTTTTGTATGACAATTTTTTTTGTCTAAGCAAAAAATGTCTATTGAATGTAAAAAAAATTGTATGCAATAGTAGTGATAGATCGAATGATCTTGATAGAAAAATATTTCAATCAATTGTAATTCCGTTAAATTTTCTTTAGAACAAAATTAATTTCAAACCCAATGATTAAATAAACATAGGGATGAAAATTTTTTTTGTTCTTCAAAATAAATCTTTCTGACAGCAACCAAAAAAGCCTCTTAACTCTTTTTTTTCCATCAAACGCTTTTTGATAGAATCATTATCAAACATAATGCCGGAAGGCTCTATTAAGTCTCATGTCCCCCAATCAATTTTTCCATTATATCATATTTAATCATATATTTTGTAAAAACTGAGTCACGTGAAAGATAATTTTTTTTACAAATTCTCTTTTAAAAATGTTTACAACATTTTTCCAGCGTCAATGATAGCACGGTTGACGTATGGAAAAATTCATTTAAAAGTTCACTTTGAGCTCTGAACCTATCAAAAGTGTAATCGATATTCTTTAGCATAAATAAAATAACAGGTTAAAAAAAAAAGCTAGAATATGAGATAAAAGGATAAAGAATTAGTGAGCATATTATTTACAGTTTAAGATGAACTAGTAGCTGATGATGCATTTAAATGCAATAAGAGTATAAAAATTAGAAAAAATATGAGGATCTACGAAAGCAATTTACGACATTTTGGTGGCGCCTTTTAAAGAGAATTTTCTCAAAGAACCCTCAAGACTGCTGCTCATTAATTGCGGTATTATACTGGCTGCAAAGAAGACATCACTAAAGAAACTCCCGAGCAGTCAAGCTTCATAATAAAAACAAAAGGAAAAAAATGATTATGAGCATAGTAAAGATGAGGAACTAAAATGCAGTAGGAAGAAAATAAAGATGAGTAAAAGCGGAGTAAAGAGATAGAAAAGGAGAAAAAAATGAAAACAAAATTAAAACGATGGTTTAATAATAAGAGAGACATCGTATTGTTACAGGATTGCCGGATAAAGCCTCATGTTTTCTCCCACTATCACCACAAAATACTTTTCTTTCCACGTCGGTGCGCCTTTTACACCAAGGTATACCAATGTGATATGTCTCTCTTTTCCTTCCGTGATTAACGCCCGACCGCGTGCTGTCCTCATGGATGAATCGTCGTGCTTTTCCGGAAATGAAGAGCGTCCGCGTGCTGTGTGCTTTTTTCAGCTTTTATTCTACGCCGCCGGTGCAGCAGTGTTATTCTCAGCTATCGTGTGGGGTTCTCAAATGTTGTATGACGTTGAATGTGCACTGCTGAAGGCCACGAGAAGCATAACAATGCCACTACTTCAATCATAAAGCTTACATTTCTTTACCATTCCTATTTCACCTCGCGAATGACTTTTCAATTTCTACTAAATGAAACCCTCCAAATTTACGCCTTTTTTATTACTTTTACGTTGCATGGAAAACCTTTTTACTCATTACATCTACTCCTAACAGATGATGTATCAAATAAAGTACATTCATCATATTTTAATTTTTTGCAATATCTTCTTTTTTTCATAATTGAAAACCATTTTATTAGAGTATTTTAAAAAGAGTTTCCAATCTTGTTGTGATCTTAAGAATAACATGTAAATTATACTTTAAAGAAGAATTTTTAACAATCAAATTCTTTAATAATTTATCAACTGTAAGACTTAGTTGTCAATTTGACTAATAACCCACTGCTTTTTTTACCATTTCATTTTGTTAAATTTAAATCTCTATTGTCAGTAGTTGATTATGACAGTGAAATATCGTACAGTTTATTGTTTTTTGCTAATTAGAATTCAGATATTGGTTTTTTTTATTTCGAAAATTCTTATCAATATAATTATTCAACAATGACATTTCAATTTTTATCTTAATGAAGGTTTACTATAAATTGATGAAATATTTGTTATTGAAAAACCAATAAATATCATTAATGATATAAAAATGTAAGAAAAGATAAGTTCGATAAAACTTCTTCTTCAGCTATTATCGAAAAAAGTTTCGGGTGAATGTAAAGAAAATGGGCAACATTTCAAGAGTAGAAGAGGGTTATGAAATCTGATAAATTGCTATGAGAATACTGTTTTTATTCAGATGGCTAAATTCATTGTCGATGAATTGAGTGAGAATGAAAAACAGAACAATAAGATGCAATAAATAGATTTTAATGACAATCAACTATTCAAGAATTTCTTTTAACAAAAAAAAATTACGAATGATTTCATTAATTACATAATTTTCTCCTGTACAAATCACACTTACAATAATTTATAAAATTTAAAACATCAACATGACGTTGATTAACATCTCAAAAAAATTAATTGGAAAATTTCTCTATTATTTTAGATGTCATACAAACTACAAACATCAAAATGTCATTATCATGAAATAATTTTAATTAATTTTTTTATACTAAGGTAAGAAAAGTAATAAAGTTTAATTTATGTATAAAATAATATAAAAAAACGACAACATAAAACCAATCTTCGTAACATTGCAACTTTACACTGTCAACATGTGCTCCGAATATTAAAACTTATAATTAAAACTCCATATCTGGTGACACATATTTACA